TGAAGTCTTAGAAACTTCATTCCTGTGCCACTTGAAGTAAATTTAGCCTGAGATTTTTGTTCCACAATGATTCTCATGGGCTCCAAACTCTGTGCTTACCATACACACAATAATCTTTAATGTCTCCAGACTCTACCCATGTTCGTTGTTAACCTTCACTCACAAAGTAATGAGATGCATCAGAAATCATCAATCTGGCCTAAGGGGTTACAAATTTGGATGAGGGCCACATAGTGTACTAATTGCTTCTAATAAATTACATATTTCAGGAGGGACATCATGATTTTAATCATTTATTCTGCATGTTGTTTCCTTTGGAGAGAAGAACATGCAGGCACTAAACAAGCAGAGCATCTGAAATTCATGGCAGAAGCTAGAAGGAGCTCATTTAATATCAACCATCATTGTAAATACTAGAATTATGCATGTATCAAATCCCTGGGTCTGAACACTTTGGGAAAAGCCAGTGAGCTCTGGTTGTTTTAATGACTCAAACCAAAATAATGTCTTTGAATGTTCTTTAGATTTATAACAGCTCTGATTTAATCCCATTTCAAATCTTGTAGCTGGGGCCTAGCTCAGGAAAAAGCCTTTGTTTTTATGCAAAGAAAAATACATTAGGGGAGGGGAATTTAAACCATTTATTTCCCAAAAGGCTGAAAGGGAAAACAGTCAAATGTATCCCTTACTTGTGTGGGGAATGACTTTAATTACGATTTGATGGCTCCTCATTGCAAAGGTGGGCCAGTGAACACAGACAGCTACAATAACTTTCTTTAAAGCCTTCTGAAATTAGTAGGGTCTGGATCTGATCTAAACAGCCTCTTGCAGAGTGAACTAAGATGAGCGAAGTTTTCCTATTTCCTTGACCTCTAGCACATCCAGGCCAGTAGATTCACTGCTAATGAAATCCTCAAATCACTTGGGAACGTGCACTTCCTTCACAGGGGGAGACCTTGGTGGTATTTAAATAGCCACTAGTATTAATAGCAATAGCTGGTAGATAATGTGGGGATTTGGGACCTCTAGGGAGCAATGCAGGTTTGGGAACAGCTCAGGCTGTCTCCTGTTAGTCTTTGTAAACCTTGCTTCCTGTCACTGCTGTCTGCATTTTCTTCCAAGGATGAGCTGAGCTACCAAATAAAACATGACTAGCTAGGTGAAAGGAAAACTGCCTCAGCACCAAGCATGTCCTGGGATGGAAAGCTGCCCTTGCAGCTCTGGGACTCAAATGTGCTCTTCTGATTTCAAGTGGTAATGTGACACCAAGGAAGCTCCATTGCCTGGGGTAAATGCAATCCATTTCTGCCTTTTCAGTCTAAGATGCCTTCACTCGGTCCCTCTCTATCTGGGAGGGTCATCATCCCATTTTAGACTTCTCTGGCAAGTGTGAGGGTAAAAACTGAGACTCCAGCAAGACTTCCAGGGGCTCCTCTAGCCCACCAAGCAGAATAATGAAGATATTTCTGAAGATGCTGTTTGTGCTTGGATGGATGGATGGATCTTTGTGCTAAAACAGCTGGACATCTACTTTGGAAAAGGATCAAAGGATTCTTCTTGGTTTTGTCATACAGAACAAGAAGCAGATTAGTGAATAGGGAAAAAGGCCTTACACAGTGAGAACTGACTGGAAAAGATTGCCCAAGGCAAAACTGGTGACTATTCAAATTGCAAAGCATTCCTGTGGTTGTTTTTATGGTATTTTTCATAGGGAGGTTAAAGCCAACCTTCGCACATGAAGAAGACCTTAAAGGATGAGAAAATTTGAAGTTCAGGCATGGAAGCCTATGAATAACAGAAGAAAAAGTGACACAGAGAGGGGAGCTGGAGATGATGAATCCTCAGTTAAGATTGCTGCTAAACATAGAAAACAAGACAAGACAAGGGATGAATCATCACACAGAAAACATGATGGATTCGTTTGGTGCCATCTTCAGATACTGACTTCTGCCACCATTGCATGCTACATACCAGCATGGAATTAACAAACTCTAGTGTGGCAGGTTAGGAAAAGAAATATCTATGAAAGCAAAATGGAAAAGCTCTTTGACATCCATTAGGTTTGGTAATAGAACACTAAGAAGCACACCATGCTGGGCTGTTATCTGGTTGGCTGGCTGAGTCCCTGTCCAGATTACTACTTAAATCAATAGCTCTCACATTGATTTTTCCAGCACACTGTATTCCAGTAAAAAGAACAATGCTCTGAGATGAGTCAGCTGTTTACTCTGTCTGTAGGAACTCTGGTGTGTTTTTGTTTAGGAAAAAAAAAGCAGGAGCCAAAGTACACACAGATATGCAGTAATAAGAACCTGCCTGTTGCACCAGGTTTGCTACAGCTTGCTGCAGCAGCCACAGCCTGGCCTTGAGCTAGAGGAAGCTTCTGTAATGATGAAACTGAAATACTTGGGGACGATCTTAGCTAATAATGCTGAATTTTAGCTTAATAAGTGCAATGGCAGAGGGAAAAAATATGCCCCCATATATGTCAAATAATAGAATCACAGAATCATAGAATGGTTTGGGTTAGAAGAGACATTAAAGGTCATCTTATTCCAGCCCCCCTTCCCTGCACAGGGACACCTCCCACTAGACCAGGTTTCTCAGAGCTCCATCCAACCTGGCCTTGGACACTTCCAGGGATGGGGCAGTCAGAGCTTCTCTGGGCAATATGAACCCCATCTGGGCAATTTAACTAAGAGGCTGATCTCCATATATTTACCATGATAGGTAAAACCTCAGCAGTACTGTGTTTGCATATATTTTCATGTATTTGGATATTTCATGTAACATGTATTATAGTTCTGGTATTGTAACCAGCCATCACCATGGTCTGATGCTGCTTCTGCTCTTTTCAACCATGCCAACAATTTCCCATTTTATATGGGCTCCTGTAACCACAACATGCACATTCATTTCCTCTTTCTCTCTCCTGCCTAGCCATCAATTCAGAAAACACAACCTCTCTCACAGTTTTGTAATTACTTCAAAAAACTTACAAAAACTGCAACAAAATTATTTTCAGCTATTTGGAGGTTTGGAGTCAGGTTGAAGCATGGCTCTGCCCATGGTTTCTCTTGATCCCTCTCTGCTGCAGGCACAGAGCCAAGCTCCTGCCATGGCCCCTCATCTCTGCTGCCTCAGCTTCCAGGCTCAGTCCCACTGCCTGCAAGCTTGGCTTATTTCTGGGAACTTTGAGGTAACAGCAGCTACAAACTACTAAAATGCCAGAGAAGTTAACAAATTAAAATATTTGCCCCTCTTCTGCACTCCATTTCTTATCTCCAGCTTTAAATGTAACGTACCAGATTCCAGTCTATTCCACCTTCCATTAGTAACAACCTCGGAGGGTGTGGAGCAAACATGGGGCTGTAAAGAACTTTATTTTTTTACTTTACTGTGTTGAATACCATATTATAAATCTACTGAGAGTAAAACAGTGCACAGTAAATATATATATATATATGCTCAAAGTTGAGGAGGAGTGTGCAACTGTGAAGCCTGTTATTCTGAAAATGCTGTTGGTGTTATCTTCAACTGCTATAAAACTAGAATAATTTAAATAATTATAAAAATTCTGTATTTTTCAATATTAATAGCTTTGTGTATTTCACAGCACTGTGTATTTTACATTGCTTTATGTTTGCCTCACAGTCTCTTAGTTCAAACAAAAAAAATCATGTTTTCATACCAGTGAAAAAGAAGACAAGTGAATTTTCCACCAGGTAATTTTTAAATTAGAAAGTTATATTTATACAGTAACAGTATGGTAAAGCTGGAGCAATCCAGTCTGTTTGCAGGAAGGGTTATCAACTTCCAAGTGCCCACTTGTATATCTGGGAGTATGGTGAAATTTAGGATGCTGAGGTTCTTGAGAGGAACTATGAGGACCTGTTTTACACTGCATTTCATTTGCACAGTATTTAGTTCAGGCTTGTACAGCAAAATAGTACAGGAGTGAAATCAATCGGTATTGCTATCCATGCAAAGCACTTTCCTTCCAGAAAAAATATTGTAATTGAATGTAATAAGGTTATTTAGAATATCCAGGACACAAACTTCAGGCCATTTTGGCAAGCAGACAGTCTTGTGCAGCAGCTGAGTGATATTTTACCTGTGCCTAGGACAAGTATTAGAGAACTGAAGCTACAGAATGAGATACATAGAACTGGCTGATATGGTAAATTGCCTAATGACAGCAGAAGTATTTCACACAACAAATCAGATATCCCACCTTTCCTGACAGGTAATAAATTGTGTTAAGCAGCCAAATGGAAATTTACCTATTCATTATCTATCAAGAGACACCTGGCAGGATGGCCTTTAGACTGCAGTCTGAAAAGAATCCTGTTCTGACAAGTGTCAGTCAGAATGCTGGTGAATCACCACAGATCTTGCTTCACTGCAAGCACCATCAAGTCAAATTCTGTTCAGAGCTACACAAGAAGCAAGGCTAAATGTAGCTGTTCTGATCCCAGGTGATATCCCTTCTGCTTCTGTATGTATTCCTAAAAAGCATGTTAGCCCTCAAAACTTTTACCAGGACTTCTCATTTTTCCTTATCTTCCCAAGAAAATCTTCACACTCCCCATGGTCAGATACCCAGCCCATGGTTTTGGTTGTTCTGCTTTTCACAGCTGCCTGGAAAGAGAGGCAGAATATGGGGAAGTGGTTTCAAATAAGAAACAGAGAACTGTATGGGGCCAGCACCAATAGAATTTACATATTCAATAAGCTCTTTTCATAATTTAGCATTGAATTATCTGTTATAGCAAACTAATCAAAGCATTAAAACTTTTCTATATGCTGAGGATGGAGATGCTCAGCACAGGCAGGTGGGCAGTGCCAGGCAGTGAGAGCAGAGTGTGAAGGCAGGGATGGCTGGGCATGACCCCTGGGCAGAGCCACCCCTCTGGTGCCACTGTCCTCTCCCACGGGAGCCCCCGAGCCAGCGCAGGGCAGGGCAGGGCAGGGCAGGGCAGGGCAGGAGCTCGCAGTACCTTTGAGGGCAGGTGGGGTGAAGACGCTCTGCTTCCTCTGCTTGGGAGAGGCGCTCTGCGACTGCGGGGGGACAAAGCAGAGAGAGGGGTCAGAGAGGGCAGCCCCGGGGCACACCCCCATCCGAGAGCTTCTGAGAAAAACATTCTGTGTGCTGCTGATGTGAGAAAAACATTCTGTGTGCTGCTGATGCTGCACATCACCCCCCGGGCTCTCAAGTATACATGAAAGCCAAGACACAAATAT